GTACTTTTTTTTGCTTTTTAACCTTGAGAGTATAAACATTATATAATAACTCGTGTTCCCTTGTCCTGGATTTCATAATCTGGCTTCCTTATCACGTTTGAGGGTTTATTTGTATTGTTATTTTTTTTTAACTATAAAGAAATACTTTTTTATTTTGCAAAGAGAGCTTGACAAATACAACTGCTACTATTTTTATATAGTCTTTCAACCTTTTTTATATGCTTCTTTTACTACTCATATCATATTGCACAATTTTATACCCTGATTTTTTTTCACACAACGTTCTATCAAAAGGACGTTTTTACAGTGTTGCAATCTTCATAATTATGATTTTAATGGGAATTGACTGCTTAATGGGTATGGAGTTTCCCTTTGGGGTGAGGAATGTGGACTGGAAACAGTGACGATGGTTGCACAACATTGTAAATGTACTGAATGCCACTGAATTGTACTCTTCAAAACAGTTAAAATAGTGTTACGTTACATGTATTTTACCACAATAGAAAAAAAGAAGAAGAGCTATCATTTATGGGGAGTTGAACTTTCCAGCCACAAGATCCTTACGTGGTGTAATTCATTTAATTCTTTCACTGGTCGTGTGAAATAGGCACATCTGTTATTCTTGTTGCATAGTTAAAGAAACTGAGGCTTAAGAGAGGGGGTGCAGTTTGCCCGAGGTCACCCCGCAAGCAGGTGGGGCTGAGATGTGGACCTGGGTTTGTGACGCCTTTGCCCCAATTCTCCACCACCATGCTTGTGGGCCCTGCAACTGCTTCCAATTCTAACTTTGTTCATATCATTTATTCATGTTCCTTAATATTCTCTTAAGTTCCAAGAAATTATATAGATATATTTATGTCCCCCCCCAAAATCACCAAATTATTTTCTAAAAGGTCATGACAGTGTAAAATGTCACTAGGAAAAAAAAATCACTACACCCTCTGGATATTTAATATTTTAAAAATATTTGCTAATATAATAGGTCAAAATTGGTCTAATTCATTTTCAAATGTACATTTCTCTTATAATTAGGGAGAGCAAACCTCCTGTGCGCTTGTTTTACTCATTTCTTCTTTTTTTAATGAAAAAAAAATTTTTTTTTTTTACTTTGGCAAATTGAAATAGAACACTTGCAAAATCACCAGAGTAAATGATGTTTTTCCAGATGGACACACCCAGGTATGTCTCACAAATCATCCAGTTTTCCAGTTTTGTAAGCCCAGCTTTCACCAGAATTTTGTAAAAAAAAAAAAAAATCTTTGCTTTGCTAGCATGGAACGGCCAAGAGATGAGATACTATCTCTTCTCTAAAGTCTTAGAATAACTTGGATACTTGTCTTGAGTTCAGAAAACTTACACTCGGTGTGGACCTGACAGAAGGACGTAAGAGGACTGCGGTTTGGAAAGGAGAGGTTTGTCCCAGCCCGGGCTGGGCGGAGCCACTGTGGACGAAGGGCCTGACCACAGGAGCGCCGGGCGGGGGGTGCATTACTTGAATTGAGTAGATGTGCGGAGGAAGCGCCTTCTCAAAAATTCATTCATTCAAGTGTCCTGCTCTTGCATCTGCTTTCTGAGCAAGACAGATGTGCTGATGCTAGTGACAAATCCACTGCTAGTTGACGGGAAGTCGATGTGGTCTGTGTGGCGGTGCTGCCCCCCTGTGGCCATAGTGGAAACGGCATTTCTGAGGGCGGGGAGGCGGGGGACCCTTGGGACCAGAAGTCCTGATGGGGCCTGTGGAGACGGGAAGCAGGATCCCTGCAAACGCCCTGTGATTGCCGACGAGGGGCTGACCAACATGAACCCCTGGCCTCGACAAGGGTTTACCTTGCCTTGGAATATCAAAGTCAGAGAAAGTCGAGAATGAAGGGGAGCGAAGGGGAGTTTCGACCTCACACCAAGAGGCTGAGAACATTGACGGAACCGATGTCATTGTTGACATACAGATGGGTCATGTTTTGTGACTCCTGGTCCAATGAGTATACTGAGACTCATTTAGTCAGTAGACACGCGGGTGAGGCCAGGAGAGACTGGGGAGCCCACCGCAGGATGGTGGTTCCAAAAGTGTGGACAGAAGAAACAGTGAATGGGCGTCAGGCAGGCCTGAGTTCCATCAGGGCTCAACTACAGACAGGCGATGTGATCGATGGCGATGATGGCGACGACGGTGGGGGTGACAGTTATGGTCATATAATAAGCAGAGGAGCTGCTGAAATACCATCTCCAGAGCACTGAGTACTTCATATGCGTTATCTTAATGCTCACGATGACCTTAGCAGGTGGTGCAGGTGAGGACATGGAGGCGTCGATTAAAGAACTTGCTAATGTCACATGGAAGACATAGGCACGGGCCCAGACAAGTCAGGAAGGGGGTGGCCCTCATTGACTCATAAGAATTTGTTAAGCGTGAATGACATGCTAATGTTGTCATGTAGACTACAGGTCAAAATCAATTCGTTATGTGAGTCATAGAATTTATCTCACCTTGGGTTTCTCCCCAGCCGGTGATGAAACACACTGTCCGGCCGGCGACCACATAATTTGCGGGTGGCAGACAAGCTGGGATTACCTTATCAGTGATGCTGGCAGGGCTGAAAGGAAAACATCAAAAGTGACATCTAACT